AACGATGACAAAAAAATAAAGAACCGGGAAGGCGTAAAAATAAAAATCTCTTCAGAAGAAACTTTCACATCGACTTTCCTTAAACTTCCTGGTTGTGTGCCAATTGATGTATTAGTATCTTTTAAAAAGTTACACCCCCGTTCTGAAAAAAATTCACTTGATTATTACTTAAAAATCTATAGACTTGGTAATAAATTAGATATGCCAATAAGCCATATGAGAAAATATTACGAACAAAACAAGAAAACCTCCACAGTTGATACCGTCAAATATATACATAAGATTGCGGAGTATTGTCTTGTCGATGCCATATCTTGTCAACGGCTCATGGTAAAAAGAAATGTAATAAACGATTATAGGGAGGAAGCCTCTATAGCTTATGTATCTTTATTTGACTCGCATTTCTATGCCGGGGGTATGAAGGTATGTAATCTCTTGGGTGCCGAAGCCTGGGAAAAAGATATACTAATTACTATGATTCGTTGTGATAATATTGAACCGGGAAAATTTCCTGGAGCTTATGTATTTCCACCAGAAAAAGGTCTAGAAAATAAACGTCCAGTTACAGGTTTGGATTTTGCATCCCTATATCCAAGTATTATCATGACTTATAATTTATCGCCAGATAAAATGATTTTAACATCCGAAGAAGCAGATTCCTTAATGGAGAAAAATGTAACACTCCATAAAATTGAATTCCCTTTCAATGGTCGAATTTTACGTGCTTGGGCCATACGCCATGAGAATAGAAATGAAAACAAAGGTTTATATCCACTGGTTTTAGAAAAATTGCTTAATAAACGAAATGAAATGAAAACACGACTCTCCAATCTTGTGAAGAAAAAAGACCATATGGAAGCTAGAGAATCCTTATCAAAAGAAGAAAGAGTGGAATATAATTCCATTTGTTTTGATATCGCTTGTTTGGATTCGAAACAAAAAGCAATTAAAAAATATATGAATACCTTTTATGGGGAAGCCGGAAATGCTCTTTCACCTTTCTTTAAACGCGAGCTTGCTGGAGGTGTTACATCAGCCGGACAGCATAATATCAAACTCGTCGCAGAATATGTAAAAAAGAAAGGATTTAAAATAAAATATGGCGACACAGATTCTTTATATCTTATAGCTCCCGATAATTATTATAAAGAATGCGACCTAGCATATGATAATGGGATTTCAAAAGAAGAATATTGGAAACAAATGGTTTGTATTACTATGGATGTAATGAAAAAAATGCGCAACGAAGTGAATACCTATCTTAGATTAACAACCAGGACAACATATCTTAAAATGGCCTATGAAGAAGTTTTATTTCCAGTAGTATTTACCGGAAAGAAAAAATATTTTGGAATTCCGCATGTAGATGTCCCAAACTTTAAACCCAAAAAACTATTTATAAAAGGTATAGATACCGTAAAACAAGGCCAATCTAAGCTTTTTAGAGATATTGGTGAGCGAATCATGTGGGAAACTATGGAAATAGAGAACACCAGAACGTTACATAAAATCGTTGAAGATATTCTCAAGGATACATATTCTAAACAATGGGAAATTGACCAGTTTATAGAATCAGCCACTTATAAAGCCAATGTACAAAATCCACCTATCCAACGTTTCATTAGTCGAATGAGGCCCCTTTATGAAAATAAAATTCCAGAATCGGGTGAACGTTTTAATTATATAGTAACAAAGTCTGATAAGTATTTCGATTTATCGGGAAAAAGGTTGCATCAAACCAAGGGAGATCGAATGGAATTTGTTGATATCGTAAAAGAACTTGAAAAGAATATAGATTTATCATATTATTTTGAAAATAAAATTAATGGCCTTTGTGCCCGATTTATCATGTACGATGATAGATACCAACCGCCATCTTCAGACAAGATTATGCAACTTAAATGCGAAGATGAAAAATATAAACAAATTGATGATTATTCTCAGAATAAAGCCAAAAAATGGCTTGAAAAATATGTAAATGAATTAAATGGAATTACGTCAAATATGATATTCGAGCGTGGTTATGCATATAAACGAGCTTATAAGGAAGCTACCAAAATAGTGAGAAAATTATTATACCCGGTAATTGGTAAATTATACGAGATCTTACATGGAAATTGGCTGAATTTCGAAGATTTTAAGGAAACTAATTCACTAGAAAAAATATGGAAAAAGTTTATGATATATGCTAGATTATCAACTAAAAATGAAAAGCTTTTAGTAAGTGACGATATGAAAAAATCTATATGCTCTGATCTTTCAAAACACCTGGACGATCTTGTTCAATTTATCAAGAAATATGATACGTTCTTCCATAAGTTAGTTTATCATATGCGATATAAAGAACACGCATCAGCTCCAGAAAAAATTGGTACACCTGAGACTATGAGAAAAAATGAAATGGTAACCGAGCAACCCACCTTACCATGCATATTAGAAGCTGATCGACTACTACTTGAAAGTTTTCTAAATACGTGGAATACGGGGATTGATTTGATATATGCAAACCACCATTCTCAATATTGTTAATACTTGATTATATTTTATATACATTAAAATTTTTAATTCCGTGGTCAAGGTATCAGAGTATTATTTCTAAAGAAACTACTCATACGTTTTTTGATTATTCTCTAATTTCGTTTTTTAGCATCAAACTCTTTAATTTTAGTTCCCGAAATCTTTCATCATACTCCTGCAATCTTTCTTTATACTCCAGCAATCTTTCATCATACTCTCTATCATCATTTTCTAACGCTTTAAACCCAGCATAAGGTTTGGCATTAACATCAATGAGCGCTATATTAACATCAGTGAGTGCTCTATTAATATCAACGATTGGTTCCATAATATTATTGAAACAATATATTCCATCTCCCTTTTCAAATTCAGCAATAACGGCATCAAGTATCGAGTCTAATTTTTTTTTAAAGGACTCGATACTCACTGGAGTCAATTGCTTTTTAAGCTCAGCGGTAAGAGGTTTCAAGTTGGACTCGATACTCACTGGAGTCGATTGATTATTACTAAAGAAACTAATTATTCTATCTTGAGTCTGTTCTAATTTTGCAAATCTAGTATCGTTCTCTTTATTTTGTAAACTTACATCAAAATATAGGTCTCCATTTTCCTCCACTAGATTCCGAATTCGAGCATCAGTCGCTTTCTTGTCATGTTCTAATTCAACAATCCTAGCATGAAGTTTAGCATTAATATCAATGAGTGTTTTCTTTTCCTTTTCAAATTCAGCAATAACGGCATCAAATTTCAAGTTTAATTCTTTAAAGGATTCAATACTCACTGGAGTTGATTTCTTCTTACGTGTGACTATTATATATTTTTTTCGTGGAAACATTATTATATTTTTCTTTCCTGGCGAGTAGTTAGTTAATACCTTATTATAAATGTTTAATATGGTTATGATTAGTATAAATTCAATTTTAACCTAATACTAAGATACGCCTTTATTCTAAGATAAAGAAAAAATTATTTATTTATACCATAATAGGATAAACTATCAAGAAAATATTTTTAGCAGTTTATCTGAATTTTCGGGATCTTTACGTACTACCGAATCAAAAGATTTTTTATTTGCATTCAATTTAGGTCGAATAAATCTAACCCATACAACAATAATCAACAAAGCAAGCAATAGCCATACAGTTTTTGGTAAACCTAAGACGCTTGTCATAGCAGGAATTGCTTCTGTTCCTCCCACTGAAATCCCGGAATTCGATTTATCCAAAGAGGAGTTGGGAATATTTCCACTGGGAACGTCTATCTTTATTGGCTCGATATTTTGTAATGTATCGTCTTTAAATGAAGAGGTACCAGACTTATCTTTATCTGGAGAATTAGTATCAACAATTTTTATTTCGGGAGACGTAGCTGAAACTTCTGGTTTTCGTAGTTGCATTTTTATATTTTCACGTAAATATTTACGAAGACTTTTTTCTGGAGCAGGATATTTTGTATCTAAACTAGATTTATTATCAACTGGAATATTAGATACTTTAGAAACGTTTTCTTGAGGCTCATACCCCCCAGCAATTGTTTTATCTGATGGAAATTTTACTTGATCATGCAAACTTTGAGATATGGCTTCCAATTTTAAACGTTCCACCTCATCGATTTTTAAAGATAGTTCATCTTTTGTTTGTACCAATTCATCTTTTGTTTGCACCAATTCATCTTTTGTTTGATCCAATTCAGCTAATTTAGATTTGAGAGACAAAAACTCGGATTTTATTAGAGATGAATCATTCTGAGCCGAAAATAATTTCTCTTCCAATAACTTTATTCTAGATTGAAGATAGGTCGCCTCTTCCATTTTTTTGTAATACTTGGTTTGATATCCAGTAAGAGAAAGTTCTTTAAGAGAATAATGGGATACAAGATTAGTGTTTTTACTCTGTAACTGTTTGATTTCTTCTTTGAGTTGTTTGATTCCTTCTTTGAATTGTTTTATATTCGAGTCATTTTGTATTTTGGCATCGCTGGTTCGATTTAACTCTTTCCGGAGACGCAAAATCTTTTCATTTTTTGATTTCAACTCTTTTTCAAGCCCATCTGATCGTGTTTCTGCAAGCGCTTTGGCATTTCTAAAATCAGAACATTTATTAGCAAAAAATTCAGTTTTAATGAGTAACTCATTACGCTCAGATTCAAGTTCACGTTCTCTAGTGCTATCTAATTTATATCCACGCCCTTGAAAATTTTCGGCAACGGTAGATCCACTATTTAAGGTATGTATTGGTGCCATATAATTAAATAGAATTATGTTTAACAAAAAAATTATTATCAAAGAAAACTAATTACGAATCAGCTTTTTACTAATTAATACCTGATTATTACCCAGTTTTTGCCTGATTATTACCCGGGTTTTGCCTGATTTGTGCCCGATTATTACTCAATTCTTGCTCGATAACATACTAGGAATAAATGGGTGTTTGCCTGGATTTAAATCAGACATTTTTTTTTATATCATTATATATTTTTCTAAAATGGTTAAAACCCGAACTAAATCCAGAGTTCGAACATATCTCAACTCCAATGCCACCAAATTGTCTCCCGAAAATATCCAAAAAATAAGGGACATGGAGGCAAAAAAGATACCAAATAGAAAACGCAAAATATGTAGAGATTATAAAATCGGTAGTGATAGATATGATGATATTGTAAATGGTCGGATATATCCTCATCCACCTGGAATAGAAATGGCTTTTAATGACTCATCTATCTCGACACCCCAACTAGAAATCTCTCCTAAGCATAGCTCATCAAGTGTTGGAAATTCTGAGCAAGTAATTCATTCGAGCGAACCAGTGTCAAAAAAGACTAGCAGAAAAAAGAAGGACAATTCTAGTGCGGAATTATCTAAAGGTGGAAATTTATCGGAATCGAAAACCGTACATCATTCTATCTTAAATAATCAGTCTACCTTATCAGTGCCAGAAAATGAAGCGCAAGCCAGAATGTCACAATTGCGAAAATATGCTAAAGAGCTTCAAGCTGAATCCTGAATTCGAATCAATTCCTTTATAAGATATTCAGCATAATCTAGAACTCTAAGAAATTCATCCTTGAGGTTTTGCCGTGTATCCCAAACCTTAGAATGGAACTCTAATATTTTAGTACCTGGAATGATATTAGGATTAATCACGTGTTTTTTTTTAACTCTGTATCTGTCTCTTCAGAAATAACATTAACGTGATGTACCTCAATCTTATTTTCTACCTTGTGCATCGTAACTGGAATGTAAAAATCTTTCCCATTACAAT